TTTCGATTAAAATTTTGTTGAGCGTTTGAATTTTGTGAAGTGTTATTATTTCCTTTATCTGGACCTTGCAGATTCGTATTTTCCTGTGGCAACTGTGGGTTGCTGATCATTTTAAGACTGTATCGGGGCGACGTACTGTTCTTTTTTCCTTGTTGTGTAATCCTTGTGACTCCAACAAAATTTTCAGGCTCGAAAAATCTACTTGCATCTCGTTCATAAATTTTGTATACTTCGATGGCATTTTTGAAAGTTTCTCCTAGGGTGTTATGAAGTTTTGTTAAGCATTGGATTCGCAATGAGGGAGGAAGACCATTAAGAAAAGCTTGAAGAGTGTCCTTTTCAAGTTTGAGTTCCTTAGCGGGGGAGAGTAATTTGCGTTCGAGTTTCTCAGTGTTAACAATATCATTATATAGCATTTTGACTTTGTTAATGTAATCGACAACATGCTCATGCGATTTTTATGAAACGTCTTCGACTGCAGCTTTAAATTGGTTAGCAGTGCGATAGGGGTCAAAGAAATCACGTAATTTAGATTCTAGTTCCTCGGGTGATTGATACTCCAAATTTTCCATTGTGGTCCGAGCGCGTCCCTCAAATTTATGGCGAAGTAAAGCAAGAAAAGTTGGTACGGTTGCTTGGTTCATCATTGAACATACGCGTTTGCAAGCTCGCATAAATTCAGTCACTGTTATGTTGTAACCATCAAAAGTGGGTACATAAGCTAGCGCATCTTTTACTGTGATTTTTAAGCCACTATTGGCGTTAAGACTCTCGATTACTGGGGGTTCTGGATTTTTCTTGTGGTTTTTAAGCTCGTTAACTTGTTCAGTGAGGATTGATAATTGATCGAGAATTACGTTGACAGTGGGCGAGGCCGTGTCGTTAATATTTGGTCGTTCAAAATCCGATTTAGAGTGTGCTGCGCTAGTCTGAGTATTATTTTCGCACATGATTTTAACCGTATCTATTAATTCTTCAATCATTTCTGATTGTTCTTCGAATAATTTTAATTTTTCGGTTAATAACCGATCGATCTCTCGGGTTTCGTCTAATTCGTTATTTGTGACTTGAGGTTTATCGGAATCCATTTTGGTCAAATTGTCTTCCTATATACTTCTTGAATTGGGAAAATTGAAAGATTCTTAATGAGGGATTAATTGTGGCAAATTTGTGATTAATCTATGCGGTGCTTCTACTAGACATGGTGAAAATTATGCGAATTCAAATACGCTGATAGAAAGTTACGAAATAAACGAAATAACCCCACACTTAGCACCATTTTTTTTCTCTGTTACGTATTCCCCCGAATTTTCCGTGAAAAATAATAAATTTATTTTCTACGAATCATAGGGAAATTAATAATGAAGTTTGAGACAAATTTGACGAGAACTTAGGGAAGTCGTCTTAAAGCAATAGCCGCCGAGCGGCAGTCGACCATCGCTTGATTTGCCATTGCTAGGTTGGGTTGGAACTTCTCGTTTTATCGTCCGCTGTTTCTTCATTTTTTCGATTTAGTATTTGGAGGATCAATCGATCTCCGGATTATGGCGGTTATTTTCAATTTACTTACGTTTTTCTCACTTGGTTTTACGAATTCGCCAAATTTTCTTCTCCTGCGTTGTCGCCTCCTCTCGACTAGCTGAAAGTCCACGAGTCAGTCCGAGATTTCAGATTTCGATGTCCATGGATGTGCCCAACATTGTTCCAGATATTTAAAGTTTCAACTCGTCCAACTATTTTTCACTTCTGCGGGATTAATGAATTTATAAAATATTTTCGAATAGGTAGATGATTGAATTTTCCTTTACGGTTTTTCAAGAATTTCTCGCGTCGGACGCAGTAAAGAATAGACTAGAGCAAAATCGAAGGATCTGTGAAGCGTTTTAATAATTCTCGTGGGGTTTCCAAGCGGTAATAGCCCTTTTCAAGGCCACTAGGGGTCCACTTGTAACCTCGGCAAAATTATTAGAACGTTTATAACAGGATCCAAAAGGTTTTGGTTGAGGAAAAGTATTGAAATTAATTTGGAGCTTCATTAATTTGGGGTCTGTTAATTGAACTGTTAGACATGAGAATCAATGGATTGACTTGTCAAAGTTACCCCCTGTGCGGGAAAAGCGGCCAAACAAATCACCATTAACTCGACTAGTATAATATCTATCTACGGATTCCGCGAAACTTGAGAGACATATCCCCAGCCATAAGCCGCAAATAAATCATCGCAAGAATTTCAAGAATCGACAGTCCGGTAAGGTTCAGGTTCAATTATTCACTGAATTGAATGCACCAATTTTTTTTCACTAAATTTATTTCACTAAATTTTAATTAGTTTATAAATCAATTGAGTTGACATTTTAATTGGAATGGAACGAAAAGATCAAGAAGCTTCCAGTCAAATCTTTAGTGCGCCGCGGAAATTCGTCCGATGTCGGATTAATTAAGTAATTTGGTTTAGCAATTGGGAAATTAAGTGGGTGTCCTGAAGGGGCCCCATGATTTAAATGGGCTTATTTAAAGCTTATTGAGGCTTATTACCGGTTGACGAAATAGATTTGAAATTTTACTAAGTCTCGCGTCTCGACCGTTTCACTGCTTCTACTGTTTACTGTCTGACTGGTAGCAGCGAACTGTTCACTTTCTGACTGCTGGTCGTTCACTGTGATCTTTTCGTTTTACAATTTTTGCAAATGATTTTTGCGTTTCGCTGCGCAGGCCCGTCCGCGCAACACAGTAGGGGTACCAATAGGATTCTGGTATCCTAAGTGGGAGGCAATAGTTCCACCTCTTCATTTTGATCCAAGCGCAGTGTACAAGTGAGAGAGATTACCTATAGTTATCCTTGTTCAATGCATTAGAAACTATACATTATTATATATTCGCTTTTGAGTATTTTACATTACTGTTATTATTAACAATGTTGACAATTGTGGAATTTGAATGACATTATTATTGAATCATGCGCGTTATTCTCTCTCTTTTGAAATTGTTATGCCCCAGAAATACCATTAAATTAAGAAATAGTATTAGGTAATTTCTCATTGACCTGGATAATATGACGACACGCGAAGTGGCACATATTATCCAAAACATGTAAAATCGAATCAAAGAATGTCAATGTTGTAATATAAACTATCCCGAATATTTGTGGGTTAAGTCCA